ATTTAATACAACTCATCCCTCTCCTATTTTAATTAGTTTCAAAACCAATTCATTTCATATATGCCTATTGTGTTAGTATAGTCTAAATAATCAAGACAGGCCTTTTCTGAATTACCAGCTAGTTCCGTTTGCAAATTCATATACCATATTATATTACATAGTGAACAAGAAACTCACACAGCCTAACTTTTCCAATATGCATCAACCCAAAGATGTAACCTAGGATAAGCATGTGTGATTTCAGTCAATATCTCTGTTGACTTTGCCCTGAAGCAGATAATTAATCTTTCCCACAGAAAGCTACTGTGGACAAATCAGTGGGGCCAAAACATCAAACTATCACAAAAAAATGTTTAAAAGACTATGTTAGATATTCTGTGAGAGCCTGGCATTCTTACTTCTTTCTACAAGGGGCCACATTCTGCTCAAACTTACTTAGGGTCCCTTCAAAGCCAGTGCAACTATTCAGACGAGCTAATGATTCAGCTCAAACTGAATTATTAAATTTACTCTATAAATTCCAGAACCAGGCCTTCTGCCTTTAGCTTCTTAATTTATGTTCACCCTGGGCCTGATCCGGAGATACTGAACAGCCACAAATTCCCTTTGACTTTAGCTGCTGCTGCTGCTCATCATGTCTCAGGATTAGGTTCTTGGCCTTATAAAACTAAGAATATGGTAAACCAGGAACACAGTCTTGTGTCATCAAAGATGAAAACTAAAACAATTCCCCAGTGGTTTCTTGTATACCACATGTTTTTAAACCTTTAAAAAGATTGATTTCCTACTTTCCAGGCAAAATCTGCCATATTCATTATGTGAAATATCCCATAAAGAGATTAAATGAGAATTAAAGTCTGTGCGCTACATATCCATCACTATGGTAGAAACTGATGCGGAATACAAGAAGTTGGTGGCATTTTAAAAGCAGTCACTTGGACATTGCATGAGCAATGCAGAGGCACTTTTACTTTGTTTTGCACAGAACAAGGAAAAAGTAGTACCCCAAAAGGCTTCCAGATATTGTTTCTCCAAAGCAATGGCTGGATGATAAAACTGCACGCACCTTTTAATGTGCTGCTTAGGGTTTTACACATATATTCCCTGGTAAAAACCCCAGGGTCTTCTCTCTCTCCTCCCCTTCTCTCAGCCCCTTTCCTGCTATCTCCCTTGCCATAACTCAACTAACCCAACAGAACCAGTCAGTTTTAAATTTCAGTTGGGACCCCAGTGACCTGTTAATGAATCTACAGAGAGGAGAAAAACTCACAGTGTTGAGTTATGCCTGGTGTTGCTAGCTGACTTGGAGTCAGAAATGCTTGAAGCGTTAACGTAATTGCAAGAATGTGAAAAATGAAGCGTTGGGCTCCTGAGCAAAGCGAAAGGTCAAAGCAAGCCTTACACAAAACAAGTCTCTGGAAGATGGCCTCATTAGACCATTAAATCAGCTTCTCCTTTTTTCCCCTTCTTTGTAAAATGTTTAGAGTGGGTTTTTTTTTTTATTATTGGATATATTTAACTCCTCCCTTTCAACAAGAAACAAGCTGATCAGATCTACTGCATATTTACTATTCACTACCATAATATTTTGTGACATTGATCTGTATCTGTGGATCTGAACCACATTAAAGTCAATAAATGCTTGGTAGATTACAGGTCACTAGTACTTATGTTTTTTTAGATGATCAATATAGAGTATAGCCTAGTTTTCCCTTGTACAAGAAAGGTGACATGCTAAAAACAACACAGACACTCACCACTAATAAAATTAGGATAATCTTTCATCATTCATTGCCTGAAGGCCGTTTTCTTAACTCCTTCAGAGCTAGGATGTTTCAACTCAGTTCAGACTTTGACTGTTAACCCTTTCAGTGCTGAATATGCAGCCAACGCGCTGTGGCATTCTAATTCTGATACTGAATGCCATGAACAGGCAAAATTCTCCTGCATCTTGTTTCTTTCTAATCATAAGATCATGAAGGGAGCCCTATGTGTAGGGTCAACAACAACCATGGCACTATTCTCCCCTCTTCTCCAGCTCCCACTGAGCTACTGAGCTTCCCTGAAGTCAAGAACTGTATCTTAGAAACTCTGGGCTAGCAGGAAGGATGTTCCAGGAGAACCCATGAAAATAGAAGAAGGTCAATACGCAGGATGAAGGAATGGTGCAAATCACTCACCTCTGCCATAGGTACTAGTAAAAAAGCCAGTGGGACATTAATGCAATCTGAGGCTGTATGAACTCTTTCATGAGCTCCTCCAGTGCCATAGCAGGGGGGAGGCAGGTGAGTGGGGTAACTGCCCTGGGTGCCAAAGCAAAGAGGCGCCAACAGGTGCTGCCCAGTCAGGGCGTGGCATGGGACAGAGCCACAAGCAGCTCATTTGGGGGGCCGTGGTGACAAGGGGAGGGTGGCACCCGCCCCTGCATACACTCCCGGGCAAGTATGGGGGGGAGCATGTGCCCCCCCAGATCTGTGTGTATGTAGGCTGCCACTGAGGGCTTTGCCCCAGGTGCCAAGCTTCCTTGCCATGGTACTGAAGGGCTCCTTCACCTGGAGGGCTCCCTACTACAGTACAGTACTGGATTCAGCAATAGCTAGAAGCCTTGGTGGCACAATTTTAGTAGAGCCAAACCACTGGGAACCTACAAGGATAAAACAAGAGGGCATCTTGCTGATCCCAAGGATCTTTTGGGTTTGGAGACAGAACTCCTACTGTTCCAGAAGTTTGAAAAACCTTACCCCTCTGGCAGGACAATTCAAGAAAAATGTAACAAGGAGATGCTTGCTGTTTTTTTCCCCCCATTAGATTCCTCTCACTGGTATTTTCTTGTATAGGGAGGGGAGTGTAATTCAGGCCATAGTATTCAGTGGGAAATTTGCCTAGTTTTACATTGCAGAAATGTGCATCTTTCAGCTGCTAGAAGTCGAATGGAATGCTGACACTCCACTGGAAGATTGGCACTTCAAAAGAAAGTGTACCAAGTATATGAGGAAGCACATTACATTGGTCTGCTGAAGTACACCAGGCAGCATTCAGGTGATTAAACTGGCCTTTATGTAAGAGCTGACCTGATGCCAAAATAACTGTAATATATTTATGAGCATATTGTGCACATTACTACTGGCCACAGCTTTGAGTGACAGACCTTGTAGCTGACTATCTTTGGGCCCATCACCCCCATGCATCATATCAAATAATGAGATCAGCCTGGGAGTGTTTGCTGACAGCCCCCAGATTGATATGCCTGGAGATCAGAGTCACATTTTCAGGCACAGAACCCCTCTTCCCATGGCTGTGGAACTCACTAATGGCTACCCACCAGAGCTCAAATTTTCTGGACTTCAAGATGACAAGACATGTCCTTGTGGTCAAGTGCTGACTGAAGATGGACTGTCTCTAAATAATTTATGGTTGTTGGGGGACATGGGGATGAACACAACTACAGGGGTTATTTGTCCTGCCTGAGGGGGACAGTTCAGATTAATTCATTGATGTGTTTAAGTTGTGTCATGCTCCCAGATGTCTCAGGGATGGGCACTTATAAAAACATAACTGAGTAAATCTTCCCCTAATCATCTTTATTTCACCACCCCAAAAATACTGTACATATAAACAGTAAAGTGTGCCCGTTAATTATTAGAGGCATGCTGACCTGTTGTTCTACAACTGAGGCCCTCCTTACTAATAATTGCTGTGGCTGTTATAGTTCATTACAGATCTGATCCAACTCCAGTTCACATCAATGGAAAGACTCCAAATGACTCCAAGGGAGCTGAATTGCACCCTATGTCACACCCTCTTCCACTACCAGAAAATTACAAATAATATATTGAAAGAGGAGATGGGTCCAATTCAGCACACTGGCAAGAAACCATCACATGCCAACCTGAATTTTGGGGAGTTAAAAGTCAGTACCCATATGAAAATCCAACAATAGTGAATCCTACTTTTGCAAAGGATTGAATGAAAACTTCATTTTGGAATGTTTGATACTGTATTCTTCCTCGCCCTACACTTTATGCAGCCATTTACACCTGTGTGAAGCTAACGGATAGTGCTATTCTACCACAATGGCGGCATTTGACTGGAACTTGGTGCAGATATGAATGACCATGTGAGGTAGAAAAACTGGATCTCTTGCACTTTGGGTGGTGAGGTGGCTTTCAAAATCCATAGCCCAGGGCCATGACTAGGGCAGGGTAGCTAGGGCAGCTGCACAAGGTGCTGACTTAAGGGAGGGTAGGATAAAAACAGCTGCTGTCACTGCCATGCGATTGTGCTGGTGGTGCAGCAGCAACTGCAAATTGCCGCTGTCCCTGTGTATGGCAACTGCTCCGGGTGCCCAGCCTTGTCGTTACACCTCCATCAGAGTCAGATGGCAATTCTGAGCTCTAGATTTGGAAAGCTCCCTCACCATATAAGTGCAGGAGATCCAATTCTTGTACCTCACATTGGGGGGAGGGGGGGTGTCTGTGTGTGTGCGCGTGTGCGTGTGTATACACACACACAGACACAGTATACACTACAAGAGGCTTTCTCAGTCAGTCACAGTTAACTTTTGCTTTTTCTTGATATGATTTAAACAGCTTTATGGATCACTATAGCAATCCTTTTATGGCTAATATTGCAAGTTAAATTATCTGTTTACAGCCCAGTACAAACTACTGCATCACAGCTGGAGAGTGTGCCTGTCATTATATTTACTTACACCACACAAAAATAAACTGTAGATAACCAAATTTGTAAAGGAATTGGCAGAACTAATCAATTGTTATTACAAAGCTTGTTTGAAGATTAGATATTTTGCTTTGAAATAATAATAAAATGCAGCTAAGTAGGTTAAGAAAAGGAAATACTGTCTCCCTAAGTTACAGCTGATTACACTGCAAGCCTGCCACTCCATGTTTACACTAAGGCAGATGTACTGATATAATAAAAAAAGCTGAAGTTATTTTAGTCATGCCTACTTTGCACAGGGAAAAAGTTTGACCTTTTACCTTGCTCACTGCTGTTGTCTCCACTCTGGGAAGCATGGCCCCCACTGGAGGGCCCCGGTGTGCCTGCTGAGTGCGTTGAGGTTGCATCATCGTGGTCTCGCCAAGATGAAGGGTTCTGGTGTCAGAATGCCAAGGAATTTTTTCCACAGTTCCCATTCCAATAGCAAATGAGGAACAGAAAGAAAACAGAGGAGGGGGGGGAAAAGTATACACATTAGCATTTGTGAAATATGCCAAATACTGATACTGTCTGTGCAATGTAATATGTCTTCAGAAGTTAGAAGCAGGGGACATACAGATTTTTATTCTTCCAATAGTTATCTGGGTGTAATTGCATTAAAACTGTGAGGAAAACGTTGGTGACAAAAGTTTTAATGTTTCTTAATTAACTAGTTGCAATGTAATACAATACTGTGTGGTCAGATTGGAAGGGGCAGGAGTGGTTTGCCAGCCCATTGCCCATTTTTTCCCCCTACAGGAAAAAGGCAAAGAGAAAAACAGTAAAAGAACTGTTTCAAAAAGTAAAGGAAAAAATGTTTGGGAGCGGAGCATACCCTCACACCCCTCTCTCTCTGCCACCAATTGAATGCTGGAAATACTTCAAGCAAATGCAGAGCTGTGGGAAAAATAAGTTTCCTTTGAAACATATTATATACCAGTAAGGAATTTTTTCTTCGGTATGACACATTTCTAAAGACTTTCTAGATGTATCACTCTTCAACAGTTCTTTTACAAGTAGTCAAGAATAATCACAAGGTGATTATATGAAATAATATATATAGTGATTTTTATGTAATCCTTTCTACATTAATACACATAAAATACAATAAAAGAGAATATACAAGATAGACATATGAAGTTTGACAAAACTTGGCTAACTAAGACCTCTGCTACTGTACTTTAGTCATATAACTCATGGTAATGTTTAATTTATTGAGTATTGGTTTTCCTGGAGTGAAGAACTGCTATTTAAAAAGTATAAGTGAGGAAAACCGAAAGTTACAGCTTAGTGCTATTTTGCTGAGTGTATTCTCCTCCTGGTCCTCCTCCCCTTTCCTGATCATTCCCAATACCCTGCTGTTGCTTAAAGGAAAACAGGAATTCTACTGTACAGGAAGAGCTTTATCAGCTCCACATGAAGGCAGGCAAGAGATGGAATTTCCTCTGGCAGAAAAGGAGAGCAAGAACACATGAAACAGATCAGACTAGGGGTTGGACCTGCATTGCATGTCACCTGTATGTGACAACTTAAATTAAGCACATTGTAACACTTTTGCAGAAGAAAAGTTGATGCTTTTTCTTCAATCAGTGTTGAGAAAATAAAGGACGTGGCAAGCTATTACAATATAAGCAAGAACTGCAACTGTGTATTGATAAATATACTCTCTGGGTCTAATTCTGACTTCACTTACACACATGTGAATTAAAGTAAATCCAATCAAATCAGCAGTGTTCCCCAATGAAAGGCCCTAAAAATATATTGTACCACCTCAAGATAATCTCCCCAAACTGATTATTATCACAGGCATCGCGGCAATATAACGTAACGGACATAAAGCAACGTAATGGAACAGTCAGACAATAGCTTACCACAAACCCCAAGAATATAATCTTTATGGGCCTGATCCAGTCCTATTGTGGTCAAAGTAAAGAGTCTCATTCACGTCACAAGTTTTGGATTAGGTCCTAAGTGACCAAGAATTAATAGGAAGGCAAACTCTTATCACCCTAAGTATGCAAATGGCCTCACTTCAAGCAACAGGAATGCATATATGAGCAAATCAAGCAGGATTTTCCCAGGATGTAACAGTCATAACTTGTCAGCACAACTAATAACGTTTAGGACACAAATTCTATCTACCTATTCTGTTTCCCTAATATATAAGTGCAACAAAGACTGTCAAAAATCACAAATTAGAGTGTGGTATTATGCATTTGTCTCAGCAACTAAAGCCAGAGAATTACCATTAAATACCACCCTCCCAAAAATGAAATAAAAAAAAATCTGTTACCATCATGTCACGAAGTCAGGTGGAAAGAAAAATGAAAGGAAAAATGAAAAATCTAATGGTCGAAGCGGCTCAGATGTTATTAAAAAATAGACTGTGACTGAAAATAAGGTTGGGGGAAAGTTCAGATGGAAATAAAATGCGAAGACTGAGCAAGTTTCTTTGCAGCCTGGATTAAAACAGTGTTGTGCCTATGAGCTTCTCTTTTTATCTCTGAGTTAGGAAACCACTCAAATAGCTTCAAGCTGAAGGCAAACAGCAGACAGGAGCTCTTCAGCCCTCTGCAGCCTCTTAGCGTCAGCTGTTTGCCGGATGGTAATCAGATAAAGAGCTAGAAAAAATACATGAAAAAGGAAAGAAACAATAGCATAGCATGAGTTTAGCCCTCCAACAACATGAGGCTGGAACCTTCTTTTAGAAAATATAATAATTGGAACATGTTCACCTAGGCAAAACTTTTCAGGAAACACAGCAAGTTATGTTAATTTTATGCACTGCAGGCTCTCTTAAGCTGGCTGCTGTTAAAGCTCCTTATCACACATATGAAAATTACAATAATTAACCAGTAACACCTCAGCTATGTTCTAAGGCAAATGTCATACAAAACCTAGCATACAGTATTTCAAAAGCCAGACCAGTCTTTCTGTTTTGAAAATTCAGTGATTTGGAAAGGATCATTGAATAAGACTTCCTGAAGCTGAAAACACTTGCTGTCTCTACCAGTCTGAGTTGTGCTTGACCTCAGTTTTCAGACCCAGTTTTAGAAAGACAGACTGCATGGACTGGGAATTCAGTGTATTTCTTGTGAGACAGTTTTCTTGAGGAAACAATTTGGCAGTCTTCTATTAAGAGATAAAAATAATAAAATTAGATATTTACATGATGCAATTGTAGAATACTAAAAGAGTTAAAAATCCAGGGAAGGAACTACTCCTTTGTATTATAAAAACTGTGATCAATAACCATTAGGATGGGGCACAATGCCCTATCTCCAGTACTATATTTCCTTGAAGTAAGATCACTATAAGTCAACTTCTTCCTTTTTTCATAGACAGTTTTCAATTTTGCATCCCTCAAGAAAAACTTCTTGGCCATGAGCCCAATTATATGCAGTAGTTTTGTGAATACTGTAACAGAAAAAGCACCCAAATACAGATTTTAAGATCATTTTTCTTGATGGACCTAAGTGATACAACTTTTATGTAGGTATGGAGTTTGATCCAAAGTACACTGAAATCAATGGCAATTTTAATATTGACTTCAATGGGATTTGGATATGACCCATTGCTAGAGAGAGAGCTATAGACGGATCTGGACTATTTACATAAACTCATTACAATGTCTTCTCTTTTTGCAAGCTTTAAAAAGATACTTTGCATAAAAAGATCACACAACCTTGAGGATGGTATCTAAATATTATAAAGTATTTGCTGATCTTCTATATGTATATGCACTTACACATACATACATTATAAAATTTGAGCACATAGTGTATTTAATCATGACCTAAACTACTGCAGTATACCATGGAAGGCAAATAGTGCACATGTATCTATTCCCAGTAGTTTTAATAATTGGGAGTCAAATATGGTGCTCCTCTTGCTCTTACCTAATTGTGTTAAAGAGCAGTGTTACCAGGAGAAAAGCAGTGAATACTGAGTGGAGCACAATAGAAAGAGATGGAAAATAGATACAAGAAGCTAGGTCTCCAGGGGCAGTATTTTCTATTTGCTGGGCTACAGACTCGCAGCTGATAATGCAAGTTGTAATTAATATAAAAGCAGGAGACAATATGGGGAAAGCTTGTACTAGCAGGGCCACAGGAGATCACTCTGCTGCTATCCACTGTTTCTCATTTACACACATAGCCTTCCCTAGAAAACACAATTTTGCCAGTGTTTTCTCCCTTGAAAGTTAAAAAAAATTGATTTAGCACCATCATTGAATTTTGCTAAATCTAGAAAAGAGCATGGAAAGGACAAGAGTCTCTAGGTATATGAAGCAAATCTGATGTGTTACTCTTTTGTCGATGCTGCAAATCTTGTGGAAACTGTAAGCGGTTTTAACTACTATAGTATTTCTTAAGAGATGTTCCAAGGCATATTTGATACAGGATAATCTTTCCTCGATCAGGATTGCATGCAGGCAGGCATCTGATAGTTTATATGATTCGCTACTGGTCTCTTGTCTTATATGGGACAAAGGTTGATGGGTTAACTAATACTAGACTTCCGTGTAAATGCAAATGTAGGGGCAGATTATTGTATCTTCATTGTGGGCCCAAAACTTCCACTGGAAAAACTGTGTGTGTGCGCGCGCGCGCGCACTAGCAGTCCCACTGGGATTGAATTTGATCTCATAGTGGTTTTATTGTAGATATAACTCAATTAATCATAGGGAAGTTACTCTTGATTTACAGTATGATAGTAAAATCAAAATCAAGCTAACTGATTTCAAATGATACCTGTGAGTAAGATAAGCAGGGTTTGGCCCACAGGCTTAAATGAAATTCTAGCTATATGTTGAAAGCATGATCAGTATTGTATATTTTGTCTGTCACAAAGAACTGTAGAAAATATAAGTCCAGAATAAATAATTCTGTAAGAAAAAAATAAAAGTTACATAGCTAGTTCTTTACTGAGATAACTATGATAACTTAAAATTAATTTAATTGACGATTTGAAGGTAATTCTTGTGAATCAGTTTTGCAGGTGAAAAATGGAACTTAACAATACCAGCGACATATGGTGGCTTATTTTCCCCAGACTATTGGCCAAATCCTGTTTACCTTACTTACACTAGCAACATCTTTGAAATCAACTGAGCCACTAACACAACAAAGTTAATAAGAATTTGTCCCTGCACTGAGATTATATATTAAAACATGACATATTAGGTCAGCCAAAAATGTTGTATAAACCTACATTTGTGGGTGCATGTGTGCACATGTGTGTGTAATGTAATGCAGGATGAGGTTTTAGAGACTGCTGTGGTGAATGGCAATAAGTATATATAAAGAAACTTTCAATAAGTAAATGGGGCATACAAAACACTAATTTGGTTTGAAATATATGTTTACAACAAACACAAAGCTCTGTATTACACA